CGCCCCCCCACCCTCTCGATCGCCGGAAGTCGAGGATCTCGTCGACGAGCAACTGTCGGTCCTCCTCTTCTTCTTCTTCCGACTTGCGATTCCTCCGGTAGTGAGTCGGGTGTCTCTCCAGTGCTTTCAGTGAGTGGTACGCGCGAGTGCGACGAGGGAGAGCCTCAGTTACTGAGCAGAGAGGTCCCTCGAGCTTCCCCGGTGAGCTTACTTTCACTTCCGCTCAGCACGGAAGATGAGGAGCCTACGGAGATCGCGCGCGCGCTCGCATCGCGCGTCCTTTCCGTCGACGGGCCGCTCCTTTAATCGCCGAGTTACAGGATTTCCGTCCAGACTCTCGTCTCGAACTCATCCAGGCCAGCTGGCCGATAATCAGCCGGGCATAGGGAAACGCACGCGGGGCGAGACTTCATTAGGGGTGTAATATTTCCCCCCTCTTTTCTTTCTTCCACCCCCTCCTCCGCGAAGTTTCGCCGCGCAGCTCGAAGTTCCGGTTTGCCTCTTTTTTTGTTTTTTTTATCAAAGGAGTTCTCGAGCGGATTATCGGATTGCGACACGCCGTCCTCGCACTTTGAAAAGGAGAGCGCGGATCGGCGATTCGCAAATAGCCTTCCCTTCTCGCGTCGAGCGTAATTACGCGCGGCGGGAGCCTCGAATTCCGATTTAATCGCGTACGCGAGGTGGTGCCTCGCTTTATGTCGCGTGGTTTATTCCCCGGGGTAATCCGATAACGAAGTCGTCCGGGCGATGCGAGCGCGCGACGCGAAAATATGCATGCTCTGTCACGGGCAACCTGCGTGTCTTTCGGCCGCACGGATCCACCTTTTGCTAATCAATCTCAAGCCCTCTCCTCGGGATGAATTTTAAACTCTCTCTCTTTATTAAGAAAAAAGATAATACATTTCTTTGAGGGATGTAAGGTTGTCTCTCAGAAGTAAGTTTTATTTCTGAGGCGAGTGAGCGAAATGAGCCTCATTTCTTTGCAGTCTCGCGGAAATAGACTTAATTAGTACGATGTTTTTACATCAAAGTGCGAGAAGCAACGTGTGTCTCCACCGTGGAAGGAAGCAGGTTGCCCGTACAAGACCTGAAACACTGCTCGGGGTAATCGGGGGGGGGGGGGTTTTTTTAGNATTACGACACCGAGTGTAAATATTTCAAGTATCCGTGTGTGTGCGTGTGTATATATTAGGTCTACCAGATAGTTCTCTCCGATAAGGACAGTTTTTCGCCCCCAAGGATGAGTCACTCTACAGAAATGGAATCCACAGATTACCATCACGCTGGGAAAAGGTTGTTAGTAACGGTGGAAATTACAATATTGTCCGGTAAATATTAATGAGTGTATTGAAAAACGTATGATTTTTCTTTCAATTAAGAAACGAACAGAACTTTCCGGGCAGACCTAATATGTGCCTCCCTGATATTTCCAATTTGAATTTCTCGGTGCGGTATTTACATTTCAACTTGTTTGTACTCTGACATTTGATTCAACCTAGACGGAAACACTCCACGGAGCGATCCGTTCCACGCAATCCCCCCTCCCGCCCTCTCAATTACCTCGAGCGGCGTACCAATTAACACAAATGTCGTCACACATAGTTTTCTTTCCATCTTGTGGAGCACTTGGGGCCACTTTTAATCGCAACGTCCAAAGAGAAACGCGGCTCGTACGAGACTGTGTGTTTCCTCTTTCCCCCCCGTGCGTATCTCCCTCTCTCCCCCTCTCTTTCTCTCTCTCTCTCTCTTTCTATTCTCTTTCAAACTTTCCACAATCTGGTAAATCAGCAATTTTAAACCGTGTTTTAAGAGTTGCGCCAACTTTAAAGCAACGAAGTTTCCCTAACGACTGCTCTGTATCCTTGGTGCGGCGAGAGGCGAGAAAATCTCCCCCCCCCCCCTCTCCGGTTGATCTCGTTAAGCGAGATCGGAAGTAACGGCGAACGATTTCCGGCGAAATCCGCCTATCTCGTATTTCCGGTGCCGCGCGTTGAAATTCGCGCACACCTCGCAGGGCGCAGTTGCGCGCGAAATTAACCCCGGCGGGACTCGAAGGCGATAATCCTCCTCCCTCCTCGCGCATTCCGCTCGGGAGGGACAGAAGCGTCCGGCGCTGCGTCGTTCCATATTCTCGGCGTCTCCTTCTGCGAGCTCGAACGAGCATTCGGCGGCGCAGTGAAGAAGCACGCGAAACGACGTCGTTAATTAGCAAACGGAATCGTCCTCCCGCGCGGCGGGAGAGCCGCGTTGAGGAGAAAATGTGCTGTCGTTCAAGCGGTATTCACTTGAGTCGAATGATTATCTCAGTATACTGCCTGGCAAATATCCGCTTGAAGTAGAGGTGTAAACGACTATAATAGGATACTTCCTAAGAGTAAATAGATATTGACTTTTACGAGTTAATACAATTGCGTCAAGTAGGAGAGAAGGTGGCGTTAAGGCTGCTGTAGGTGTAACGGCTTTTCTTAATGTCTCCGCCATTAGCTGACGAAATTTAGTGATTACACTGAGAAGATTTCGTCCAATTTAATCAATTTAATTGCATCCAAATAAATTCCATCATTGGTACGCCCCGAAGGAACTAATGTTTCGATTAATAAGGACGATTGTTAGACTTTTCGACGAATATGCACCTTCGTCTTAGATAAAAGATTTGTTTGAAACGAAAGATAATTTTCTTGCAAAGAGATGATTTGTTTCATTTTACATTTTTATTTATCGTACTGTAGCCAAGTAATATTTCATTCGGTTTAAAAAATATTATTTCCTATGATAGCGTTCTTTTCGTCAAATAATCGAGTTTTCTTGAATGAGACAACAACATTTTTATTCAAATAATATTTCGTATATGTTGTTTCTATGGGAGAAATTTTAGTCAAATAAATAGAAACACTAAATCTAAAGAAACGCTTTTCTCCGTGTATATACTATCTCATTCTTTTTGAACTTGGGTATCATCCAAATATATGTACACTTGAGTGTTTTTTGTTATTTAACATTTCATTACGCTGTACATATTTCGAAAATTTTTTCGAAAAATTATACAATAGCATGATATTTGGTTTGCTAATGTAGCTCTCTACTAAAATAGATTTAATACGACGCCTTTTTCGAGGTTGTCACATCGAAGTAGTTATTCCATAAGTCGATAATTTAAATTAAATTTTAAAGTCTTCGTTTTGCAGAAACTGCCTTTCTGACAATTTGCATCTGCCTTCCAACAAGAGTAAGTCAGTAACTACATTAAAAACTCACGGTTATATTTATTGCTGTTCTTCCTAAGAATTTCTTTTGAATACAAATGTAAATTTGCAATAAAATACTGTGCTTTTCAAACGAAACTAATTTTCTTAATTTTCGTTAGTGGTAGGCCACATTAGCACTGTTGTTCATCTTCGACCTATTAAGCAATGACGCCACATTTTTTTCATAAATAACGTCCTAAGTAATCAATATTTCATAACTTTGAGTTTAGAACAAACTGAACAAGACTTTGACGGTTGTAATCGCCAAGTTTTCAATTAAAAATATTATTAACAAAATTATTGTACAAAATTATTGTAAAAAATATAAAAGAAACGGCGGCAGAGGGGGGGGGGGATAATATCCACCTTCTCCTCCATTAATCTCAATACTGAGAACGTCAGAAATTATTTTTGGAAAATATTTTCCGGACCGAAGATCTAAATTTCAACCATTCGATTTCTTCAATGGTAAAGAAGGTATATTACATAATTCGCGTAAATTCTTTTTTAAATTTTCAACCGTTTTACACTCACATTCATTAATCTATTATTTACAAATCAAGCCGTTACTGCGTTCAAGTAAATATTTACTACAAGTTATTAAGCTACATTTCGGAATACATTTATAATTAATTAAATAAAATTAAAATGTTTGATTCAAAAGGCTAAAGAACGGGGAAACACGTTTCCTCCATTTCAGCGCTTTAATATCCCGGCTATTCCTCTTCTTCCGTGTGGCGATCGCGAAACAAGATTCGCGACATTTCGAATATCGCGCGGGTCGAGCTAACCTCGGGACTCGCGTTTTCGTGACCGTCGGCTTCTCGCGCGCATAGGACGCGTAAATCCAAAAGGAAACGAAAAATGAGAATGCGACTATTACAGCATCGCATCAGCGACGTATCGGCGGCGCGACTTTCACGCGACGCTTTAATTATCCCGGCGGGATGAAATGTTGCGTTTCACCGGGCGTTATCGCGAGCGATTATTTTCCGCCTCGCGTTCGCGTTCGTGTCAACAATGGCGCGCGTGCGAGACCGACGGAAGTAGTAGGGTTTTACGTTTACCTTTGTCTCGTTACCGAAGAACTGACAGCGAGAACGTGTCTCGTTGAAGACACGAAGGGGGGACGAAACGCGCTCCGGTAAACTTGGGCGCGTTAATGAGATATGGGACTCGCTTCGCGAAGGAGCCTTCGTTCCGCCGGCGAGTGAAAAGAAAGCTGTACCTGCCATTTGTGTAAATAAAACGACGCGCTGTTAGCGAATTGGCTTTTCCTGCCTTGGCGCTCGTTAAGTCGCTCTCGCGAAGAAGGTTGGCGTATTTTCTTGTTTTTGCGCGCTTCAACGCCGGGATCGTTTATTCGATCTGAAATCCGGCGCGACGGGGAGACACGACAGCGACGACGTTTCCTGCCGCATTTTCCCCTTCGGATCGCGGAATTGAGGCGGACGACAGCGTGATAACGCCGCGCCCCGCGGAAATGATTTTCGTCCGTTCGGCCGGCCGATCAATTAAATTCTTAATTGAATTCCATTATCGAGCGCGCGATCCCCGGCGTAATAAATAAACGGGGAGGGAGGGGAGGCGTTTCGCCCCGTCAAGTTTGTTCCGGTTCGAGGGCGACGAACGTCCACGCCTTGCTTCGAATTATTTTCCCCGCAACGTGCGTTTCCGAAGCGCAGCCGGTCTCTTGCAAAATCGAAATCCGACGGGACGAAAATAGCGGCGACGTAACCACCGACGGCGAAATCGCGTCGTGACGCGCGTGAGGATGCGAAAGTATCACTTTTGACTCGATCCGATCTCTCTTTCTCTATCTTTCTTCCTTCCTTTCTCGAGTCCTCTATTAAATACAGTCGACACGTGCGCGACCTATCAGAGGGGAAAGAAATCTGCTGAATTATTTCCAGCTCATCCGCAAAACGCGAATTATCGGCGATCGCATTGCGCGAT